GGGGATGCTGGCGGAGCCGGGCGCGGCGGGCGGGGCTCCGGGAGGGAGGGGGTCGGCCCGCCCCTCCGCCCGGGGGTCCGGACCGGTTTCCCTTTGTCGCGGGCGCTCCCCTCGCTCCCCCCGCTGCCCCTCCCCGCGCACCGGGCCCCGCGCGCGGCCGCCGTCCGGGCCACACCCCTGCTGAATATTCACGCCGCGCCGCGCCCCTCGCCCCCAGCCCGGGCCGGCTCCGGGCGCGAGCGCGCTTCCGCCCGCTTTTCCTGCCGGAGGAGGAAAGGGGGAGCTGTTTGCTCTCCTCAGAATACGTTTTCGGTGTCCCGTGTCTCCTCCTCCCGCGCCGCCGCCCCCCGCCGCGCGCCCCCGCTCGTGCAGGCGCGCGGCGGGGCGCGGGGCCGGGGCCTGAGCCGCGGGCAACGCCCGGGGTCCTGCCGGCCGCCCCGGCCATGGAGTGAGCGCCGCCGCCCGCCCGCCCGCCCGCCGTCCCTGGCCTCGCCCGCGGGCCCGCGCCGCCCTCCGGGCCTCCGACTCCCAGAAACACACCGGAGACCGATTGATTGTGGCCGGGTTTTGGGTGGCAAAAAGGGAAAATGGCGAACGACTCCCCTGCAAAAAGTCTGGTGGACATCGACCTGTCCTCCCTGCGGGTGAGTGGCGGCCGTGGGGAGCGGGGCGCAGGGAGCCGGGAGCGGGGAGCCGGGGCCGCGCCCTGCCCGGCCGGGTGCTCGGGCGCCGCCGCGGGCAGAGCCGCGGGCGCGGCGGCCCCTTTGTCTGCCCGCGTCGGCGGCTGCGGGGCCCGGGGCGCGACCCTCCGCCGGAGCAGCCGCCCGGGACCCCGACCCCGCGTGCCCCGACCCCCATCGCGGCTCTCGGGCGCCGGCGACCGCGCCGGGCGAAGCGCACCTCTGTGGTCGCCGCCCTTTCTCTCCAGCTGCCCCGCTTCTTTTATTCATTGTTGTGCTGCTTTTCGATGCTCACCCCTCCCCTCCTTCTCCTCCAGGATCCGGCTGGGATTTTCGAGCTGGTGGAAGTGGTGGGAAATGGCACCTACGGACAAGTCTATAAGGTCGGTGCGGGCGCCTCCTTTGTTTCCCGGGGACGGGTTGAAACTTCTGGTCCGGGGGCGACGGGGAGGCTGATGGATACGCCGCCGCCCGGAGGCCACGCCGCTCGGCTGAAGTTGGGAGAGGGGTCTCGCCTCGCCGTCCCGCTGTTTTTCAGCAGAGTTTATATGCACACTGGCCTGAAAAGACCTCATTTCCTGGCTCTCAGTTAAGGAAATAAGCTCCACTCTTAGGCATGCACTTTTCTCCCATAAAATGGGCAAGCATTTTCGCATCAGACAATCTACATTTTTCCCCGTCTTTCCCAGATCTGGCCTTAGGAGTTGGTGTGTTAATTAAAATTCAGTAGAGGCAGGCCTTGCTTGTGATTATCCCAAAACATTGCCTTGGCCTCGAGAATTGTCTTCGTGTTCCCTCGTTTGAATGCTCGCCAGGCGCCCAGGGAGCGTAGTTCGGTGCTACTTGCTTCTCCTTTATAAGCAGCGTACATTCTACTGATGGGTACATGTTTTGGGGAACCGGGGAACGGTGTGTGTTTGGGCAACAGGAGCAGGAAGAATTACAGTGTGAGGATTATACGGTCTGAATTCCAGGAATAACCTGTTTGACAGGTGTGTAATTGAAACAGAAATGAGGCAGAGCCCAAGAGTGGAGAGGGTGCCCAGATTTTACACACACCCCAGGTCTTTCTCTTTTTTTTTAATACCCGCCCCCTCGCCCCCAACAGTAAATGAAACTAACAAATCTGGAGACTGAGTCGGCTCTGAGTAGCTGACACCTCGTGAGACTAACCCGTGCTGCGCGTTTTATCTAGTGCACATTCTAGAGTTTATGAGCAGCTCTAGGTAATGGAGGCGCAGGCCTTGAACGTTTGAAACAGAATGTGAAATTCTCCCTCTCCTGATTTGTTTCTTATTACTGAACGCTTTCTCAAAGTTATCTGCACCGGGGGTGTTTGGTAGCTGTTAGTGTTTTCTAGCTGGGTACAAGGTTGGGATAGAATAAAAAAAAAAAATCTTATGAAGCAGGGCTTTGTGGTTCACTGTGAAGAATTGTCATTGTCTCATTAAAAATGGGAGGGGGTTGGAAGCTGACTGTAGACATTTTCTTCACCCAAATTAAGTGTGGATCCCATTGTCTGTTTTCTGCTCTGAGAATAGGGTTTATCTATCTCTTGAAAGCCTCTCCCCAGCCCTGACTTCCCCTGGCCTGGGCTGTGTCCCGGCCTGTGGCCTGAACTGGATGGAGTCAGTATTCTGAGGTGATCTTAAGTGAATCAGCATGTGTTTTGTTGGTTAACTGTTGGGGCCAGGGCCAGATTTTTGAATTTGAAAGAGAGCCCTGTGAGCTCAGCCTGCCGGGCTCAACTGAATTTGGAAGCTTTTGGAAAATTTTGGAAAAGATTGTGTTGCAACTCCCTGAGTGGTCTGCTAACTGGCTGAAAGATGTTCTTTCCCGAGCCCCAGTGTTTGTTTAAGCACCAATTTTTTCTAACCCAGTTTTTCTGGCCAAATTCGATTAGTGAGTGTGCCCTCGTCCAAGTGAACTAGCCAGAGCTTGTTTTTGACCTGGTTACACAGTAGTTGGATTGTTTGGATCTTCTTCGGTCAGCATGGATGTGAAGGCTGGTGAAGTAAACCAGAAGCCAGTGAAACCTGAACGGGTCTTAAAGGGTTTAAGAGCTGGGGGTTCTTTATAGGAGCAGGTGGGGCAGGTTCACTGCCGAGGGTTTCCCCTCCTCCTTCCCCCTTTGGTTTCATCCCCTCTTCCCCAGTCTTTTGAGATAGATTTGCTGAGCCCAACACTTGGGGGAAGTTGGGATCCCCAACATTTGGGGATCGTGGCAGTGACCTGGCTCTCTGGCTCTCTCCCTATAAAGTCAGTACAGTTGAGGAGAAATTCTCAAATTATGCAAACCCGAGGAATTAAGAAATCCGTGCAGCCGTGCCATACAGTCACGAACAGGAGTGCTTGAGATTTTGCTCGCCTGCCGTTGTTTTATTATTACGGAGAATTTGAACCAGACACTAGGGAGAGAGAGATCACCAGTTTAACAGTTACCAGCACGTGACTAATCTGGTTTTGTCTGTAGTCTTCCCTCCCTCCATCCATTATCGTCACATAAAACCCAGATACCATTTCACCCATAAATACTTCGGTATGTATCTTTTTTTGTTTTTTAGATAGTCTCAGTGCTGTTCTCACGCCAAAAAAACGAATTCCTTCCTATCAAATATTCAGGTTTTTTTAAAAATTGAAGTATAGTAGACTTACAATGTGTTAGTAAAGGTGTATAGCAAAGTCATTCAGTTTATATATATAGACACATATGTATGTGTGTGTGTGTGTGTATATATGTTTTTATATATATATATGTATATGTTTTTCAGAGTCTTTTCCCTTATATGTTATTACGGAATATTGAGTAGTGTTCCCTGTGCTACACAGTAGGCCCTTGTTGGTTATCTATTTTATGTTAGGTCGTTTGTATATGTTCATCCCAAACTCCTAATTTATCCCCCCCCCCCACTTCCCCCTTTGGTGACCATAAGCTTGTTTCAGATGTTCAGTGTGAACATTTTCCTGATTATCTCATACATATTCTCTTACTGTCATGAGAAGCTTTTTCATATTTATGAACTGATCCTGGGAAGTTTAGTCTTAGAGATGGTGGAAATAGCAGAGACAGTTAACGTTTCCATTCTCTCTCTTTAAATGGGTACTTTCTAGAACCATTTACATCATGCCTAGGAGTTTAGGAATTTTGTTGGTACGATTTGCATATGGTGGTTTTGGGATTAGATTATTGACACTGTAGCATTTGTTTACCGTTGCTAAACATCCATTAGTGTGACTAGCATCAGAGTTTGGAAAATACTTGTGTCTAATTTGTTTTATATAGAGAAGCTTTTTTTTTTTAAACATAACTTTAGGTGAAACACCTGTAAGCTGAACAACCTGTAGTCCTAATTTATCTCATTGTTATATTTTCTATGAACTTTTTTAGTGATAGTGGTTGCTTATTTTTAGAAGACTGTGTTTACATGAAGTGAATGAGTCGAGAGAGGGAGTTTTCTGAGTTTTGATATGTTCTATGAAAATGGCTTTCTTGGGGATAGTTTATAATTTTCTCCCTCTGACAGAAATGGTAAATAGTCTGGGTATAGTTGAACAGTATGTAACTTTATCTTTAAAGAAGGAGCTGAGACACAGGCTGTATTCTGTTTAGAGAAATTTATTTTTTGCTTTATGTTTCTGAGAGATCACAGGGAAGGATACTCATAAAATGTGAAAAAAATTGTGAATTTCTGTTCACAGGGTTTCATTCAGAGTACCATATATTTATAAAAGAAGTGTCTATAAGATGATCTTGTGCAGGTTGAGCAGATACAGTGAATTTTAATTATTTTCATCAAAGGGAGAAACGATAATGTGAAAAATCCAAACCAGAAATGATAGATCAAAGTTTGTTTTTGTGTTTTTGGAGTTTGTTATTTTTAACGTTTATTTGGCCAATTTTGTTTTTTTCTTGGGGTGGTTACTGTTATTTTGCATCTTGCCAGCGTCCAGTGGCCATTGTTCCAAAATGTCTTGGCTAAAGGCAGGAAAATCCTGCATCTGGAATGGCATGGTGGGGGGGGCCCCGAGGGGAAGTTAGGGATTTGAGAATCCAGCAGGCTCACTGCCTGGAGTCAGGGCTTACTCACAGGCCAGATGGAGAGAGCATCTTGACTCTGACCCTGTCTGACCCTGTCCTTGGAGGAGAGGGCCTTGGTGGACTGGACACCTTGAAGGTTGAGGACGAGGCTACGCTAGGCCCGAAGATGGTAAGCAGAGCTAACCTGAGAGTCGGCCACCTGTTAGGCGCTGTGCTAATGCTGCCCCCCTCTTTTATTGAAGAAAGGGGGGTATGTGTGGCCAAAGGGCTGAGGGTGACCTTTGGGAATGGTAGTAGGGCTTGGGGGTAGTGGGCATCTCGGGGAGGGGTTATTCGTGTTGGCATTGAGGAGGTCCATCATTCCCTGGCATTGAGGTGCCATTGAAAGTTTTGTCGGGATCCCGGGGAGTAGGAGCCTTGGTCAGGTGAACTTTGGGGAAGGAGCAGGTACGGTGGTTGGCCTGGGGCAGTGGTCTAGGAGAGGGGAGGGGAAGGAAGGCCAGGGCAGGGCAGTAGAGAGGAGTGTTGGGGTGAATTCTTGGGCTTTCCTCCTTGCTAAATCCACTCCTTCTCTGCAGGCTTTGGTGTGACCCTTTAAACGGGTCCACTGTTTGCCTGCTAGATTAGGAGGAGCCTTGGGATTTGTGAAAGTGCTAAAATTGCTTTCGATTGCTCAGCAATAAAGTGCCATGTAAACTGTGTAGCTTTTAAAGATCATCTTCGTGACGTTTCGGAGCAAGCACTTAAACTTTAGGGAGGGGCGTTCCACAAATGTTGCTTTGTCAGGGTGACGACTCTTGTTCTTAAATGGAGGTAAAGACATCCACTGGGGCAAGATAAATTTTGTAGAACTAGATGTTTTCCTTAGGAGGAGGGTTGATCGGCCTCTGAGTGGCATGTACGGACTTGTTCTGAGACACAGAGTCCCTTCACGCTGGAAGGATTCTGGCCCTGGGTTAAGGGAGGGGGGATGAACCAACCCTGTTGAACACACATAGGTGTGTGGCTCTCTTAAAAAATATCAACCCAAACTTTCAAAAACTGTTTTGGCCCTAAACTAAATCAGGAACGTCAAAAGCCTTGCAGAAAAACCAACCAGCAGATAAAACCCTGCTCATGATAGTTTTTTAACTCCTTATTGCTTGAAACTCTGTAATGCAGTGTTTATTTGCATAGCTTGCAAACTTGTATTTCGCCTTTTTTCTTGGCCAATTTTGGATCTATGTCTGTTTCTGCATATTGACATTATCTGGGGGCACTTTTGGTACAGTGTGTCTGTTCATAGATTTTTGTGGATTGGCGTTTGAAAAGCAAAGACGATTTCTGAAAAAACATATCCTACTT